CCCCCCGCTTGGGGGGAGGCGCCCCCCCACAATGGAGGTTCCCAGGTCCCCGTGGGGGGGCGGCCACCTGGCCGTCCCGAAGTTTTCGGGGGACATTGACGGGACAGCGGCGCGTTGATTGGCAGTGGAGGGGCCCCCTACTCCGGCACCCTGTCCGCGCCGCCCGGCGAGTGCACGCTCGACATGTACGACTCGTACGGCGACGGCTGGAACGGCAACTTGTGGGAGGGTGCGGGCTATACGTTCACGTTCGACTCCGGTTCCTATGGCAGCGCGACCTTCACCCTCACCGCCCTCCCTCCGTCCTCTCCGCCGTCACCGTCCCTGCCGCCGCTGCCGCCGCTGCCGGGCTACTGCTTCGCCACCTCGGCGGTCGCATCCAAGGGCGTCGTTGTCCCCAAGATTGTCGGCCCCAAGATTGTCGGCGGCGCGCCCGTCGACCCCGCGCGCAAGTATATGCCCGCCCCGCCCTCCCGCGCCAACGCCGCGCTCCGTTTCGCCACCCGCCGCCGTCTGCTGACAGGTACACCTGGCTCGTCTCGCTCCAGTACCACGGCGGCTTCCACTTCTGTGGCGGCACGCTCATCGCGCCCGATTGGGTGCTCACCGCCGCGCACTGCACGCAAGGCACCGTCGGCCGCGTGGCCGTCGGCATGCATGTCGTCGCCGACGTGAACACCGACCCGTGCGTCTCCTTGCACGAGGTGGCGGAGATCTTGAACCACGACTACGGCTCTCCCAATTCAGAAAGCAACGACGTCTCGCTGCTCAAGCTCGCCACGCCTGTGACCGGCTATGCGCCCATCGACTTGCTCGACGGCCCGGGCATGGACACGCCCTTCCAGGAGCACCTCGCCATGCTCACCGTCGCCGGCTGGGGCACCATGTCCTCCGGCGTGTCCTCGCCGGAGGCCATGGAGGTCGACGTGCCGGTGGTCCAGAATGAGGACTGCAACGTTGACTACAGTGGCCAGATTGACGACACGATGATCTGCGCCGGCGACACCGTGAATGGCGGCGAGGACGCGTGCCAGGGCGACTCGGGTGGCCCCCTCTTCGGCATCGACGCCGACGGCAACTACGTGCTCACGGGCATCGTGAGCTGGGGCATCGGCTGCGCCGACGCCGACTTCCCGGGCGTCTACGCGCGCGTCTCCCACGCTAGTGAGTGGATCTGCGCGAGGACGGACGGCGCGGTCTGTGGATTCAGCCCGCCCTCGCCGCCGCCTCCCTCGCCGCCGCCGCCCTCGCCGCCGTCCCCGCCACGGTCGCCGTCCCCGCCTCCGCCCTCCGCCTCGCCCTCGCCGCCGCCGCCTTCTGTCTCGCCCTCGCCTCCGCCGCCGCCGCTCCAGATCGACGGGTTTACGTTCGTTGGCTGCTACAAGGACGACGCCGACCGGGACCTGTCCGTGCACAAAAAAGGTGAGTATGATCACGTCGAGTGCGACAGCGCATGCAAGGGCTACGCGTACTTTGCGCTGCAGTACGGCGACGAGTGCTTCTGCGGCGACTCGTACGGCACCCCTGAGGATCTTTATCCGCGCCTCCCGGATGGCGACTGTCAGCGGACAGGCTACTGCGCGACGTGTGGTGGCGGCTGGGCGAACGCGGTGTTTATCGTGGCGCCGCCGCCGCCGTCGACCTCGCCCTCGCCGCCGCCACCGCCCGCGCCTCCGTCGCCGCCACCAGCAGCGCAGCTGCTCGACCTTCGCACGGCCACCACGTACCAGGACTCGAGCGTCTACAACAAGCAGGCGCCCGTGAGCGACCTGTCATATGCCGACAGCACGACGGGACGACCGTGGGCCGAGTGCGGCCACTACACAAGCCACACGTGGGGCGTCGACCTCGGGAGCGAGGTGTATGTGCGCTACGTGCGGCTGCAGAACCGCAACGACTGCTGCGCGGAGCGGCTGACGGACGTCGTCATCGGCTCGGCTCGACGGCGGAGACGTACACGGGCAACGCTTAGGGGAGTCGGACGT